CAAGGGGCAGTGCCCTAAGGTGCAAAAAGTTCTAGCAAAAAGTGAAAAAATGATTAGTTAACAATGATTATTGACAATAAAATAATTCTTGTTTATTCTTTTAATTCTGGTGAAGCATGTAAATTGATATTCACCATACTTGTTTAATGTGAGGTGTACCAAAATTAATATGGTATATTTGGCTTTGATCTTTCAAAATTTTAAAAAGAAAATGAAATAAAAAAATCAATACTTTGTCACATAAAATTTGTCTTCAGTATAACATCAAGCAACTAGCAAAATTATAACTTCATGCTTGTAATCATTCCAAAATGTAACGAAACCAGATGGAGAGAATTCATCCATGCCAGAAGGAATGGGTAGGTATCTGGCATTCGGCGCAAACTAACCAAAAAAATTTTAGACATAATCAGAAGTTTGGAAAGGAATCTAAACAACCACTAGAGGAATTGCCAGAGTGCTACAGTGGACTTGTTTGTCTGTAGTCCAACTATAATTTTATTTTGTTTTAAATATAATTGAGAAGAAATGGCAAGATTAGATTTGTTGATTGTTATTATTTATAATCTAAATACTTTAATACATCAATGTTTTTGCTTAATTATAGAGATGATGAAAATTTGAGATAAAAATTTAGAATTAATAATGTGGTATAAATTATATTATTAAATTAATTGATGTATATAATTTTATAGGTCTAAAAAATAAAATGAGTTAATTATTAATAATATAAAATTTACTTTTTAATATTTTAAATAACGTGATATAAACCACGGCATTGGTTCTAAATTTTAGTTTCATTAATCATTATTCATTTTTCATATAAAGAAATTAATCTAAAGACCCAAGAACTATTAAAACTTATAAGGTTTTTTCTGTTATTTTTTGTGCTACTTCAAAAGGTAGTTCATTAACATAATACCAACCTACATCTAACAGGCAAGAATATCCCCTCCTACTCTATAGATTCAAATAAATTTACTTTTGTAATTCTATATATATATATACCAACCTATACCTAAGTGGTAGAGTAATGAAGCCATGGCATATGCATCTTTGTTAACTTCTCAAAATCCACGTCACAGTTTAGAGTGCCATTTTTATTGGAGAAAGGACCTAGATTTGTTGATTAAATTTCCATAAACGAGTTGCACCATATATAGTTAACCTTTTGTACAGTTAACAAGGAATTAGATTCTACTATTACATTGCAATAGTTATTTTGCCATGCAAAATTAGAGGATGACGTAGATTTCCACACGCATTGCATGACCTATGCCCCAAATTGCTTGTTGAAACTAAACTGCCATGTTCCCTTCGACTCTTTGCAAATACCCTCTATTGCTGAGAGGTTTTGGCATCTCAGTAAAGAAAGATCTATATTAATTATATCAATTAAAGGCAACAATTGATAAGTTTTTAAAAAATGATAAAAGAAACACACCATGATATATAATTTGATATATGTTTTGTTTGAAGGATTTTGTTTTAAAGATAGTTAAGAAAAAATGGCAATTGCAATAGTAGATTTATTGTTATCCATTAACTAAGCCTCAATTTAATAGGTTGTAGTTTTTAGTTTTTAGTTTTTAATTTTGATTTTTAAAATTTAAATAATCAAAATTAATAATTAGAAATTAAAATTAAAAATTAAAATTACCAACATATTAGGTGTAAAATTTTAAAATAAATATCAAAAACTCTAAACTTAATTAATTTATAGAACTATTTAATTTTATTTTAAGTTTATTAATTTTTTAAAATCAAAACTAAAAATTTAAAATCACATCCATACTAAATAAATCCTAAATATTCTAATACATCATTTTTTTTTTTACATATATAAAGAATTAATATAAAGGCTTCACACACACATAAATATTTAAGAGGCCTTGTTGTCATTCCTTATGTTACGTTTATAAGTGATTCAACCAAATAGTGCCGACTCATGCCCAAGTGGTAAGAGTCATGAAATCATGGTATCCGCATGTACTGATTTCTCAAAAGCCATGTCAAAATTCACAATGCTAATTTTCCTGGATGAAGGCTTGACATTTGTTGTTTAAACTTCCGTATGGGTCAAAACAAGTTGCACCATGGTTGATCTTTTGTACTAACAAGAAGGAATCAGACTCCACTATCACATTGCTATAGTTCTTTTACCGTGTAGGTTCCATAGCCTTGAGGATGTTGTAGATTTCCGCAGGCATTGCATGATCTGTGCCCAATTACATGTTGAAATCAAACTGCCATGTTTCGCTCCCGATTCCCTACGAATACCCCTTGCTACTGAGAGGCCTTGGGATTTGAGGAACCGTCTACATTAGTCATATTATGTGTAGTATTTAACAGTCCAATATTACTCTATCTACTCTAAAGAGATATAAATTTACTTGTTTTTTTTTTTTTTTTGGAAGGAGAGTTATGCAGTCAAGACTGCACAACAAGAGCTGTTAGATGAGAAGTCAGCTCCTTGGTATTGAAAGTTGTTCCTTCATCTAACAATCCTAATTCTGCAGTCCAGTTTAATTTAAATTATGAATTAAGGAGAATACCTAATTAATTATTTAAACAACAAAAGTATGTTACCAAAAAAATTAAAAAAAGTAACAAAAACACTAAAGATCTTCAAATTGGAAGTTAAGCTCAACTTTCAAGTTAAATGAGATTAAATCAACTTTCAGGTTAAATGAGGTTAAATAAATGAACTCGATTCACTAACAAAATAAATTAAACATTTTTGTGCAATTGTAAACCTACGAAGATCAATCCAAGA